TGGTGGGGGGAGGGGGGATGGGGGGGGGGATCTGGGATGGCCGTGGATGGGGGCTGGATGGGGCTGGATGGGGCTGGTCGGCAAGGTGTTCTTGATGTCGCGTTGATGGGCAAGTTTGGGACGGGCAACGTTTGCAATGATGACATTGGTGCGAAAGCGGGTGAGGGGCTACTTGCGGAAGGAAATGGGGAGGGGGGAAATGGATGTAGTTGCCATCGTTGAAATGTGATGCAGAGGCAGTTTGCGGTGTGGGGGGGAACATGGAGGCAGGGGGGAGGTGCAGGGGTGGGACTTTCCGCCCCGGGGTTGACCAAGAAAATACAGGCGGAGCTGTCCTAGGTGAGGCTAGACGACGACCGTGGAACGGGCTCGTGGAGGGCTTGCGACCACCAGGTCCGGTCAGAGTATCATTAGAGTGAAATGAAGATGCGGACGGACGTCGGGGATGCAGCAGTGGGAATGGCACTGAACGTGTAGAGGCAGATGGGAGGTGAGGGGGCGCGGAGCAGTAGGAAAAATACTCCGCAGCGAGCCGCAACTCGACGCAGTAAGACCGCACGCGCCGCCCCGCCAAGCCCTACCGGCGCCACCGCTACTGAGCACACTTGACTTTCGCAAGGGAAGCAGAGGCAAACGAAAACCATGTCAAGCACGGGCGGATGCTGTGCAGGCGGTAGCTGTGGTCCGGCGGAGAGTGAGGCTGGGGCTGGGGCTGGGGCTGGGGCACCAGCCGTGTCGTCGCAAGTCGCAGACGATGCGGTGCGTGCGGGCGTTCGGCCATGTACGACGCGGTAGCCAAGACGAACGCGGTGGGAGAGAGTGCAAGCGCGGATGTAGATACGGGTGGATGCTGCCCGCCAGCTAGCGGGGCGGCAACGTGCTGCGGGACGAACCAGGACGCGGCCATCAACGCCATCATCTCGACGCGGATGGGCTATACTGAGGATCAGATCAAGGCGGTGCCCGACGGGGCCAACATGGGGCTTGGATGCGGAGCGCCGCTGGAGGTGGCTAAGTTGCAGGCCGGCGAGGTGGTGGTGGATCTGGGCTCTGGTGGCGGCTTTGACTGTTTCCTCGCTGCGCGCGAGGTCGGCGAGAGCGGGATGGTCATCGGGGTGGACATGACGCCGGCGATGGTGTCCAAGGCGCGGGCCAACGCCGAGCGTGGTAAGTATGCCAATGTCGTGTTCCGGCTCGGTGAGATCGAGCACCTCCCGATCGGCAACGACGAGGTCGACGTCATCATCTCCAACTGCGTCATCAACCTCTCGCCCGACAAGCTGCAGGTCTTTGACGAGTGCTGGCGGGTGCTCAAGCCCGGCGGACGGGTGGCATTCTCGGACGTTGTGGCCACAATCGAGCTGCCCGAGGAGATGCGCCGCGATGCATTCCTCATCGGGGCGTGCATCGGCGGCGCCTCGCTCATCACCGACCTCCAGTCGATGCTTGAGAACGCTGGCTTTGTCGACGTCTCCATCGAGCCCAAGGACGACTCGCGTGACTTTATCCGCGAGTGGGCGCCCGGCCGCAGCGTTGAGGACTACGTCGTCTCAGCGTACATCACTGCACGCAAGCCAGAGCAGACCAAGTGTTGCTAAAGGTGTTTGCCAGTGGTAGGCGACGATAAAGTGGTCTTTTTTTTTGCAATCCCACCCCACCCAACCGCCAGCGCCTTTTCACGTGGACCCGGCCAGTTTGGCGGATAACCTCTAACGTTACGGTCGTTCGGACGCGTTGTCGCGCGTCTCAAGCGGCTTGAGGTGGGAGGCGCGCCCGCACCTGATGGCGGCCGACATGTAGACGCCCGCCTGAAGGATGCTCGAGTTGCCGTCGCGGTGACGGACGCCTGGGGCATGGGCGAGGCGCGCGAGGTGCCGTACGGCGCCGATCCGGAGGAGCGGCGGGTGCGGACGGTGCGGAGCTTGTCGTTGACGACCCCGAGGACCGGGAAGGAGAGCATGCCAGAGTTGAACACAGTAGCGGGACGGGAGAGCGCGAGGACGTCTTGCGACGGACGAGCTTGCCAGTCGGCGTGGCCGCGCAAGTGGTGCCACGCCATCTTGTACTGGATTCTGGACGCCGCGTACGCGCTCTACGCTGACACGATCTCACACCCCGCCATATGACTCGCGTGGCTTTTATCTGCGACATCATCGACGCCCTCGCCGCCCTCGCCGCCAGCCCCGACGCCGCCGACTCCGCGCCGTCGCGCAAGCGGATCCGCACCTCTGCGGCTGCTCGTCATCACCACTATTCCCCAACAAGCCGTCGCAGAGCGCGGCTTGCGCGATGGACAAATTTGACCATTCCGTACCGTAAAGGATTAAACGCTCTTTGCCCTCATTCGCCTCTCAAATTCTCTGTCCTCCCGAGGCCCCACCATGCAGCCTGTCTCTGCAAGCGAGCGTCCTCTGACCAAAAAGGGTACGTACCTGTAGATAGCCAATATTCAGTTGCATGCACTTGTGTGGGAGGTGGGAAGGGGTAGGGGTAGGGGTAGGGGGGGGGGGGGGGGGGGGAAGGGGAGGACGGGGGGGGGGGGGGG